TTTTTTTTTTTTTTTTTTTTTTTTACCCCTATAACAGAGCAGGCGGGCTTGCTCCGCCTGGGCTGTGCAGGCTGCGGACTCCGCATCCCGGGGGCCTCAGTTCCAGCGGGATCTGCCCCCGCCCTCCCCCGGCAAACTTCGGGCGCCTCCCGCACCTCCCGGGACCGCCTTTGGGGGCTCCCGCCGCCCAGGTAAGAGGGGAGGGGGCAGGGGCTGAGAGCTGAAAAAAGGGATGGGGGCGGAATGCTGCGGTTTATGCCCAGCACAGCCCGAGCCGGGCAGGGGCTGGCCCCGGGGGCGGGGTGGGCGCGGCGGAGCATCCTCCTCCTCCTCCTCCTCCTCCTGCTCCGGAGCTTCTCCCGGGAGCGGCGGCCCCCGGAGCCCGCTGCTCCCTCGGCAGGTCCCTCCCGCTCGGTGACTTCCCCAAGTTTGGCTGGAGGTGGGAAAGCGGGAGAGGTCGGTGAGCTGTGGGGACGAGGAGCCCAAGGGCGGCAGGGGTAACACCTGGAGCGGAGCCGCGCTGTGCTTCCAGCTGGGCTGGTTCTGGGCATCCCTCGGAAACCTAATGCCAAAGCTAAGGGAGGAGTCAATAACGTGCTGTCATGAAGGAAGAGCATCGGAGTTTTGCTCTTTTACCTACAATTTAATGCATCAAAATGCCAGTTATTTCAAATTATAGATCACAATATACCAAGCAGTTCAGCTCATGAAAGGTATTAGAGTGCGGTATGGAAATTGGAAATTGCACATTTCCTTTATTAATTTGGAACCAGCGTAATATATTAAATTTTGCTGAAGTTAATAGTAAGAAAAAAGTTAGGCAAGAAAGATAGCTGTAATTAGCTTTGGGAGAAGTAATACAAATGCAAATGAGTGTGATGATGACACTTCAGTACAGACATGTTGCACCAAGGAAACCCTACCTGACAAATTTAAACTCTGCAACCAACTCAGAGGGAGGCTTTTTTTTGTTTGGATAAGTGGAAATATGTCCACTGCTACCTATGTGTATAGATAAAATATTCATGGTCAAGAAGGAATAGTAATACTCAAGATCCTCCTAACACAGGCCTATAGGATTGCAAAAATAGGCTCTAACTTTGTTAAAAATCTTGGGTTAAGGGTTTCCCAGCTGTAAATCCAGGGAAGTAACTATCCTTCTAGCCAAAGGTATGGCCTGCTATTTAAAGCTGTAGATTCTGGGTTACTTATTTCAGATTTAACCTACATAAAATGCACTTCATTAACAAAAATGCTTGTTGCAAACTCAACCATATTTTATTCCTAATGTTATAGAAATTAATGATGGAAATTAATTTTGGAGTTACATGTTACTTGTTACATTTCAGGTACTTTATACCTGCTACACATTTCACTATTTCTGTGGCATTTTTTTGTACAGCTGGATACAGCAAGTACATAGGTGGTTGTTTTTGGTCATTACACTTCTGTAAGCCAGAAACACAGAGGCAAAATTCTGTAAATTTTTGATTCCCTTGCCTCATGTCTCCTGCTGGGTGGTGAGAAATAGGTGCTCTCTACTGCATCTCAAATCTGCTGCAAGTAGGAGGTGTTTACCTGCATCTTCCCATCCAAGGCTCCATCAACAGTGTCAGTCAGAGAAATGACTGAATGATTAATTGAATGAGAGTGATTAATATGGGCACAGGATATTCACAAGGCTGTTGCTATAACTCACAGTTACAGCGGACATTCAGTTGTCAGCCTTGGTAACATTCATAACCCATGTATCATTGTGGAAAACTCAGAACAACAGATGTAAAATTTCTTTTTAGTTAATATGTAGAAATTGGGTGTAAATGTGTGTCTTAAATGACCTTTGCCTGTATGCAGAGGACAGCCATGTGATTTGTATGTTGCTCAGGCTACTGGAGCCCTTACAGTGTAGTTATGGTGTGCTGTTTCTCTGAGTAGTTATGAATTTCTGTTGCACATTTTACTCTGGCTTCAGAATGAATTAAAAAAATATCTCTTCTGATGTCAAGTGTAGTTCTCAAAATCAACAGAAAATATTATATGCTTATAATGAAAGTGCCTTTGTTTCAAAATTCTTCAGTTAGGTAGGTTGTAAATGTCAGAATAAATATGAAAATCCCACCAATACTATTTCTTAAAGAAACAATAAGGAAAAGAAATAACATTATGGATGAAAGCCACTTCTTGATATGTTTTTACTGAAATTGCTGGAAGTACGTTGAATTTTTACTGAAAAAGTTGGATTGATATTTCCAATGCAAATTTTTGTGCAGGTTCAAATACTAAGTGAGTGTTATTACCTTCCTTTGTCCCTCCTTGACTTCTTGTTTGTACTAAAATTAAGTTTCCCAACAGTGAGATGTCACCAGGCTTTTTCACAAGTAGCAATTGAAATCTCTTAACACGCCTACAAAGCTGAAAGCCAAGTCATCTATTTAAAGAGTGTTTTGAAACGGTGCTTTTCTTTGTTGGTTATCTGGGCAGTGGAGAAACAGTTTATCTGACACCAATTCCCTTGGAATATTTGGGTTTTTCTGTGGAATAACTGATCTTAATGAACGTGGGGAATTGGCATCAGATTAAATCTTTATCCATGATTCAGCTCAATGAAAAAACTCAGGAGTGCCTTCAGCTCAAGGGCTTTGTCTTTAAACACTGAGTGTAGAGAACCTGTTACAAGGTCAGCTAGAAGTTATAAGCAACAACAAATGGCCACCTATGAAGTCTCTACTGATGAAATATTTTGTGAGAAGGACAAAGAAATCTGCACCTTTGGAGGGAATAAAATCCCTGGAGACCAAATACCTCTATCTGAGTACCACAGTCACAATGTCTAGTCTCTAATCTCCTCCTAGTGCATGTTTGGCTTACTGTGAGGGAGGGAAAAGTTCTTGGCAGAAAACAGAACAGTACCAGCCTTTATGAAAGAAAGATAAACACACTGGAGCTGAGGCAGGAGCCACAGAAAAACATAACTTGACATCAGGGGTTAAATTTAGGTGAAAGTGGAAAAATAATGGCAGTCTTCATCCAAAAAATCCCCTCAGTCAAGGTGTCAAAATGAGATATTGCTTTTATTACACTGTACTGATGCTCAGGCATTGATTTTTCTTTTATCAGCTGGTCTGCTTCTCAATCAGCAGAATTTCTTCATCATCTCTACCTTGCACCTCACAACTTCATAGGGTTTGACTGGGAGTCATGACTGGGCTTCTGGAAGGTAGCATGCCCTTGGCTGTGAGAAAAACAATATTAAATATGTTGATTTTCAAAGTATAACCTTTCCTTCTTTTCAACCATGATTTGGAAAGTGCTTTACTTTTTTTTCATTAACACTGCTTTCAAAACCCAAGGTCCCCAACAATGCTAGTTTTTCTTTTAAATAGAAGACAAAACTCCCACAGCAATAAATCCAAACTAATGACTGCAGAAGCTTTTCCTTCCCTCTTCACCCTGTAAACAAGAAATTTCTGTTAGAGAAGCACACTTAGCTGGAGCCTAGAGTCAGAGATACAAAATACTGAATGAACAATGGCTTTAAGGTGGTACATTCTTAGGAAGCTTGGTCAGAATAAAGATCTCTTCAGGTCACAGAGGATGTCTGCCCTTAAAGGTAGAAGTTTCTAGCTCTCGTGAATCAGGTCTTTAAAATCACAAGATACAATATAGAATTTATTGAGAATTTTAAAATTTATTAGCCACTACAGTTTTTATCTTATAGAATTCCAAATAGCTAAACTCTGCAGAGATCCTTTAAAAGAGATGTAAGCATAAATAAATAAATATAGGAAACTGCTAGACTACTCTCAAAACAATTTTGGGTAAATGAAGCACTTTCTGAACACATGAAGGTATGATTGCTGGTATGGGTGGAACATTGACTGTCTTTTCCCTTGGGATTTATGCCTACTTGGATTTTACATACTCAACATAACAAGAAAAAAAGAAAGCCCTAACCAACTGTTTCCATCCCTGTTGGTACTCCCACTCAAAAAATTAGGTGATTTTTTTGACTTTTCCCATTCTTCACAGTTATTCTGCCCTGTTTTTTTTTTTTTTTTCAAGTCCATCAAAATTAGTTTAGGTCAGGCAGGGGGGTTTACAAGAATAACTGTGTGAGTGTTACTTGTTAGTGGCAATAACGTGAAATAATGTAAAAATACCTAGCATATAGGCAACAGTAATTTCTTAGCTATACTAGATGATGTTTCACTGAAATGTATTCAATAGATCATCCTCCAGCTGTTTTTCTAAGCAGTCCTGTACCATATAATTATAAACACAGATGAAATAGCACAAGTGGGACTTATTCTTTTGTTGATGGTTAGGAGAGGTGTCAGGCTTTGATGAACCTACTCAGACTTTACTACCCTGCTTGTATGCACCTGAGCAGATCCTCAGGTCAGTCTGGCATCTCCCATCCCTCAGTTGCTCTCCACAAAGACTTGCAAGACTGTTGGCTGCTGTGAGAGACAGAATAATTGATTTCTGCAGCCGTGCTCCCAGCTTGGGGGAGCTGGAACGTGGCTGTGCTCCTGCGCTCCCTGGAGAACACAGGACTGCGCTGTCCCTGGGCAAGTTCCAGCAGCAGTTCAGCATTCCCGTTTGTGTATGAGGCATCCAGATACTTCAGAGTGGTTTCCAGTCATTAAATATACATATGACACTCATGCAGAGAGTCATTATACCGTTTCTTCTGATGGGAACAGGGATTTTTTTTTTCCCCCCTTATTTTTTCTTGTTGAGTCAGAACAAAGGACTCACCTTGAAAATTCCCCTACTAAATTCCAGCACTAAGAAGAGAAAGTTTGGGTTAGAGCTTGTTTGCTGAGCCATAGGATCTGCCTTCATCCTTCTAAGCAGCAGGCTAAAATGTGTCAGCACAAGCACACTTGCACTGAAAAGTCTTTATGTTGCTTTGGTCACCTCAGGGAGCTTGGAAGTCTTGCTTCCAGCCTCACCAGACGAAAAGGCACCCCTAGAATATCTCTTCTAATTTTGCTTCCCCATCCACCAGAAACAAAAGTGAAGAGCTGATTTAGCCAAAATATTTAAAATCCCAGAAGGAAAAAAAAATTAGTTACAACCTCTGTGGCTTCTGATATATGTTAGACACAAACCAGACCACAGCAGCATGTTCAGGACATGAAAGATGGGAAAGCGACACACAACATCTTTTAATTATTCCTTTTTACAGAAATTTAGTTAGCCACAATGGTGCCCCCCTTTCTCCTTCAAAGTGTAACACAAGAAAATACATCTTAAACTTCACTATTTTGTGAAATCTAAATAATCTAAATCATCTAAATGTAGAATGGAGAAAAAAGATCAGAATAATGAATGCATCAGAGATGTGCAGATGTTTAAGCAGAATATTTTGCCTCTGCTCCTTTGTTTGTTGTGGATCCTCATTTTAGGCATGAGTTTTTCTCACAGGATTTGGTGGGTTTTTTTTATTTTTGTTTGTTTGTTTTTTGTTTTGTTTGTGTTATTTGTTCTAATCTTTCAGTATTATTCTCCATATGGGTTTGAGATCAAAACAGTTATCATCTCAATTTAATTTAGTACACCTTTCTCTTTGTGATGGGCTGCTATTTCAGAGTGTACAATGCCACTATTAATCATCATAAAGAAAATGCATGAATAAAGTCCAAAATATGTGTCAGGCACTTCAAGGTGATGGATGCACAATAGATAGCCCCATTATTATCACTCAGTAACTTGAAAACTTTTGGTCCTCACATTTTCTCACTTTAAAACATCATTAACTTGTTCATGGGATCCAATACTTTGTGAAAAATGTATTACTCTCCTACTCTTTTTCCTCATCCTTCATGCTGTATTGACAGAGCCGGTTACCTGAAATTTCTTAATGCATACTAAGTTTATTTCTCAGTGTATGAGATAGCAAAGAAAACAAATGGTTTTATGGAACAAAAGTCAATTATATTGATTTTGATATGTTAATGCAAAAACAGGTTTTATGAGTGCTTGTAATTAGGGAACTTATTGGTCACAGTTTTATTTACTTCTTGGATTTATTCTCTTTTGTGAGTCAGAAACACTTTAAGACTAAAATATCCATGTTGACTGAATGCAGCTGATATTCTTCTTTTAGGATTGTTACAAAAGTTATACAAACCTAGTGAGATTGACCAGAGAAGCCCATGGATATTTCCCAGACAGAACCACTCACATCATCTAATCTAACCATTTGGGAAGTAAATGGTTGCAGTTTCCACAACCATTTTCTGATCTCTAAAGTGATACACCCAATTCTCTGTATCAGAGGCTATCATCTAAATAACTGGATGAAATATCTTAGAAACAAAAGTCATCCAATATTTAAACTTCTTATTGCAAAGGAAGTTTTTTGTTCATTTTGGGAAAAACCCTATATAAGTCTTAGTGAAATTGCCTTGAAGGTTCATAGTGTTTCATAAAGGTGAAATTGATAAGTTTCTATAGACAAAAGAATAGAAAAAAACCCAATATTTGTAAAGACCCAGCTTAAAACATACTTGCCTTCATTCAGGAACCATTAGTTCACAGTTATAGTATGTCTACAGGTAATTTTTTTTCTTCTAACAGTACATATGTTTCTTTATAACATTTAACTGATGTTAAAAAAGTTCATTCTTAAAAATATTGCAACTCTTACATTTTTCACTTTAAATTTTAATCAGAAAATATCGAAGAATCAATAGCTAAACTTTGAAAGGTTCCGAAAGCAAACCTGATTATAAGTTAGTGAATTAATGATTTAATATGTTACTGAATAATCAATAATTGCTATCAGATGTTCTGAATCGCTCTTACTAAATATGTTTTGGGAATTTTGTGATTACATGATGAAGTTTCAGGCAGGCATGCTGAACTGAAGAAGACATCAGCAGTGTCACAGACAGTGGATTGAGTGCAGCCTCAGCAGGTTTTGCAGATGACACCAAGCTGAGTTGTGTGGGTGACACTCCTGAAGGATGGGATGCCATCCAGAGGGACCTGGACAAGCCCAAGCAGTGGCCCATGGGAATCTCATGAGGTTTAACAGATCAAGTCCAAGCTGCTGCAGCTGGGACAGGACAACCCTTGGTACCAATCCAGGCTGGACATGAGCAGCCCCAGAGCAGCCCTGGGAGAAGGACTTGGGGGTGCTGGTGATGAGAGGCTGGACATGGCCCGGCCGTGTGCGCTGGGAGCCCAGGAACCCCCCGTGTGCTGGGCTGCATCCAGAGCCCCGTGGGCAGCAGGGCAGGGAGGGGATTCTGCCCCTCTGCCCCTCTCTGCTCAGACCCCACCTGCAGGGCTGCATCCAGCCCTGGGCTCCCAGCACAGGAAGGACAGGGAGCTGCTGGAGCCGGCCCAGAGGAGACACCAAGGTGATCAGAGGGATGGAACAGCTCTGCTGTGAGGAAAGGCTGAGAGAATTGGGGCTGTTCAGCCTGGAAGAAAGAAGGCTTTGGGGTGACTGAATTGCAGCCTTCCAGCACCTGAAGAGAGCCCACAGGAAAGATGGAGAGAGACTATTTACAGGGCCCTGGGGTGACAGGACAAGGGGGAATGGGTTCAAACTGACAGAGAGTAGGTTTAGGTCAGATATTAGGCAGAAATTCCTTACTGTGAGGTTCGTGAGGCATTGGCACAGGAAAAGCTGTGGCTGCCCTGTCCCTGTGAGTGTTCAAGGCCAGTTTGGATGGGGCTCTGAGCAACCTGGTCTAGTGGAAAGTGCCCCTGCCCATGGCAGGTCCCTTGGAACTCAAACCCTTCTAAGGTTCTATGATTCCCTGATTTTCAGAAGCCCCTATTCTGATGTCACAAGGATCTGTGCTCCAACAGTGGATTTGCCACCTCAGTTGAGCCATGGCTGCCTCCAAGCTGACCCATGTCCTAGGTTATCTGTCCAGCTCTGGGTGGGAGCTCATGGCTTTTCACCTTCTGTGCACAAAGGCGGTGTCTGGCAGCTTGGAGTGAGGAGCAGGATTGCTTTGGCCCAGCGAGGGCAGCACTGGAAACCTGTGTGTGGTATGGACCCTCTTTTGCTGCTCTTGTACTGCATCTGAATTTACACAGGCAAAACACTCCTGATACTGCAGGGAGGTCCTCATCAGATAGTATCTGGTTCCACAGATGGCCCTCTGAGGGAGCTTGTATTCGTAATGTCTTCGGTAATGCACTAACAGAAATGAGGTTAAAAAATACAGTCTTTGTAACAGGCAAAGTAAGACATCAGTGATAAATTCAATTATTTTAAATGCATCAGACCAAGTTCTGATTTCAGTTACATGGATATAAACAGGCCTGCTGGTACCATAGACTTTTGTGTGTGCAAGGGAGGTCAGAGTCTTGTCTCAGGGATGTAAAAATGCATCTACTTTAGACTTTATGATCTGTATTAGAAAAAGGTAGTCTGTCCTTGCACTTTTATTAGACATCAACATTTAAAATACTTATAGGATATTTTGTGGGATTGGTGATCTTTTATCAGCATTTTTGAGTTTTATTTTTTTTCAATGACTACATAATTCCAAACATTGAATGTACCTGCTAAAACTCTTGTATCATGTTGCCATTTCAAAGAGATCTAGCTGATTTGTGAGGCTGGCTGTATTAACAGTGGCCAGAGAAGCCATTTATCCTTTCCTACCATCTCTACCAGATATCTCATAGATGCTGTGTGGAGAGGAAATCTATTCTTCAAATATAGTTAAGTGACTAAATTTACTTAATCTGCAATGGTAACTTCCACTTTTATGAGGCAAGTGACATTCCCATGATTTGTCCAGAAGCTGGAATATTTTTTGTCATTTGCTAAGGATTTACAGAGTGCATGCTTTCATAGAATAAATGTTGGGGTTTTTTTTAAAAAAATATAGCTTTGTAGAGAAACTTGTAAATTAACTATACTAAAAAGGATACTTGAATCTATATAGTTAATATACTTAGTGATTCAAACAAGACAAAAACATATAAAATAATCCAGGCAGTAACAAAAAAGAAAGCAAAATATGTAGAAGTTGTTGCCACCCACAAACTAAATTCTGCAAAGCCTGTGGATTTGAATGGATCACACCATTTAGATGGCAACAAATCTATGGAAATGCAGCTGAAAGCCTCCCAGCTTTTCATGCCAACACTACTTCAGCAGAAGTCTCATCTAAACAAACTTCAGACTTTGGTAGAGTCCTTTATATGACAGATTTATCCATGTTCCCTGATTTCCTGCCAGCTGACTGCACCTGGTTCACTCTAAATTAGTTACAGTTAATTGTCAATAAATGTGAAGAAGGTCCTCTTGCCATTTTCTCTTGGCTGTGAAGCTGGTGAGTCTTGTGGCTATTTATCAGGTAGAGTTATACATGCAGGTTTAGAGGAGAAAGAAAAAAAAAGAGTAAAACAGAGAGTGGTAGTAGCTGTTTTATTGTTTTGTTTCCCTTGTGCATTTTGGTGTAGGATATGTGTGAGCACAGCTGCATTAAGGTTGAGATGTTATTTAATTCAGCTGACTCCTGGCTGGATGGGCTATAAAGGGTGTGGGGAGGTAGGCTGGGCTTTTTTCTGCTTGTATAGGGAGAATTGTTGATTTAGAAGGAGTAGTGAGAAGGAAGAGCTACAGGTAAGTTTTTATTTCTCTCTTAGTTTAGTGTTTTTTTTTCTCTTGTAACAGCTTTGGAGGGTAATGTAAAAAGACATTCTTCTCAGTGGAGTTAGAGAAATTAATAAATATTTTTGTCCTTTTGGAGGATGTGATTTGTGTATCTCTTGGCTTTCCTTCAGTGGACCTTGCAAAAACAAAAATTTGCTTTTCAATTTATTTTTATTTTTTGTGTAATTGTAATTTCTGTTTGCCTCTTTGCAAGATAATTAAAGGAAAGGTAGAAAAAAGAAGGCTTTTTTCTGTCCTCTGCCTTTCTAGACCTGTTGCACCTGCTGTTCCTACTGATTTGACATACTTATGGCTTGATTCTGTCTGTGGTCATTTTATTCCCATATTTGAGGGGCTGAAGCAGCACTAGTGTAAACCCAAATTCTGTAAAGGTTAATTACAGACTTTCTGGTTAAGGTTTTTTTTACTGTAATGTACTTCTCTGTTAGAAGAAGTATTCTTTAATTAAAAAATGTGTTTATTTGAGATAAACCTGTTTGCCTGCACCTGTGTGAAAAGTGAGGCTCAGGATTCAGAGGGGATTAATGGCTTTGAATCTGAGGCAGTTTTCTGCTTCTATAATAAAAGCTTCCTGTTGAATTTTCCTTGGGAAGTGGAAGCTCTAGTTTCAACTTTATATGTTCAATATATAGGTATCTATGTATATAAAATATATAACTATATATAATATACACAACTATATATAATATATACAGTTATATATGTGTCAGTTCCTGTTCTTTGCTTCTTTCCCTTTGCAGATTATTTTATAGAAGACAAGAAATATGACAAGAATATTATCTTTAAGGCTTAGATTCCTCCCTTCTCTTTGGAGTTTTGTGCTGTTGTGAAGTGTACAGCTTTCACTCACTCCCTGCAGCCTCTTCTGCCTTGCTGTTTCTTTCAGGGATGCTCCTGTGTTGTGAAGTAAATGGCTCTTGGATCCAAAATAAAATCTTACAATTTTTGCTTCTTTTGTTCTTAATTGGAATCCTATGGATATGGTGTCTAGGCTTCTTCCTAGTAAGGTGGCTGTTGTCCTCTGTCTACTAGTTATGAACTTTCAATCCAAATAGTCTCTTTTAAAAGAGTTAAGCATTTCCTGATGAGGTTCTGATATAATCACAGAATGGTTTGTGTTGGAAGGGACCTCAAAGATCATCTTGTTCCATCCCCCTGCCATGCTCAGGGACACCTTCCACTAGACCAGGTGGCTCAGGGCCCCATCCAACCTGGCCTTGGACACTTCCAGGGATGGGGCAGCCTGTGCCAGGGCCTCACAAGCCTCAAAGTGAAGGATTTCTTCCTAATATCTACCTACTCTTTTATAGTCTGGGGCCATTCCCCTTTGTTCTATCCCTACATGCCCTTGGAAAAAGCCTTTAGGTACTGGAAAGCATCTTAATGCTTCCTTAGTAGTAATATTTATATTACAGCTAGCAGGGCTGTAGATACAAATGCCAGCTTTTTGTGGAACTCTATCTTTCTGTAAGAAACAGTCACAACAAAAATTATCTTGGACATTTTAATTAATTGTAACGTAGGTAAATAACTAATTGAATACCATCTGTTTACTTGGGCTGAGCATCAAGAATGTGTCTGTTAGTTTGAGGAAAGAATATTCATGAAACAGAGCATCTCTTTTTCAAGATAATGATTGTACAAAACTATTTCTTTGACCTTGCAGTAGTAGTATGCATATATTTTTAGGACATTTATTTGTATTTATTGTTCTACATTTTTTGCTTTGGAATTTCCATTTTCAGCTGTTGGCTTCTCCTTTCCTGTGGGGGTTAAGTAGTCCAAGAGAAACAAGGCCAAAACAAAAAAAAAGCTTTTTAGCATTCCTCTCTCTTCCCTCCCCGTGCCTGAGAGGGGGACAGAGAGGAACTGTGTGTGCTGGCTGGGGAGGGCACTGTTTTGCTGAAATAACAGCAGCTCTAGGGGGCCTCAAACAAGCTCTTCACAAGAAAATCAAGGTGTTTGTAACAATGGAGAGGTTCCCCTATGCAAAAGGATTACCTTGCACAACCAGTTTTGAAGCAAAAGACAATTTTCAGTCTGAACAGCTACAAGAAGTGCATGGGCAGATACTTTGAGATCTGGGCAGGTGATTAGAGCACTGATTAAATGTAAAAGTGAAAGTTTGAGGGTCACAGCAAAGAGGAAAAAATATCCCTTTCATTTAGCCAGTCAACCAAAACCCCTTCTTGTAAGAGCTTCCAGTGCCTGCCTTCCCTCCATAGCTGGGTGTAGGTGAGAAAGGGAGAAACTGAAGTACAGTGCTCTACCTGTCTGCTTTTGTAGTCTCCCTTAGGTTTTATTCTGTAAATGGGGTTTTAAGTTGCATAAAGCAGAGATATTTTTCACTGGAGATTACGTATCAAAATTGAGAATTATGGATTATAATTTCAGTTGAACCTTTTGTTGTGGATGGGTGCTGCATCCATGAGTTTGGAAAATAGCATCTTTAAAAAGAATTGCTGTAATATCAACATTAAAAGTATGTCTAATCAGCCAAGTGCCTATCAGCTACTTCTGTTAGTGTAGTGTTTTCCCTGTTTCTTTTCCAAGTTGTTTTTGGTTTTTTTTAAATTGTTCTGCTCACAAGGATTTGATAGCTCTTTATAATGGAAAAAAAAATGCAAGAATTTTTTACAACTGCTGCAAGATTTCCCACATGTTGGATAAATTTCCCAAATATTCATATACCAATTTCTGTGGTAGTTGCTTATGCTTTAGACTAGAAATGGCATTCTATTTTTTCCAGCAAGTCCTGTGTCTTTGGTACAGTTCTGTTAAATCAGTATTTGATTAAACAGATCTTCTGAAGGAGCAGATCTGAGTCAGAGCGCTATAAGAGGAGGTGTGGTGGGGAATGATAAATAGGTAAATGTTGTCAAAGCCAGTAAAGATGCCCAGAGAAGCTGTGGCTGCTCCACCCCTGGAAGTGCTCAAAGCTGGGTTGGATGGGATTCTGAGCAACCTGGTCTGGTGGAAGATGCCCCTATGGCAGAGTGTTGGAAAGAGATGTGCTTTGAAGTTGCTTCCAACCCAAATCATTTTATAATATGAAAAATGTTGTGACTGGAAGATGTAGTTGGTCCCTAAAAGCCCACAATGAGAAGCAACTGCTAACACATCTCAATGTTTTAAACCCCCAAATTACAAAAAAAAATAAAATAAAGTTTTAAGTTAATTGAAGGGTTTTGCATCAGGAAATTTTCTGTGCTATACAATAACACTTCTAAGAGACTCAGTGAAGTGCTGCTTACTCAGGACTTTTAAAGCTGGGTGGAATTGAGGTGTGTTTTGGTATGAAAGGAAAATTCAAGCATTTTCAAAGCAGCTTATTTTGATTTTGTAGTGGCCTATGAGGTGACAGTCTTGAGCAAACAGTCAGGGAGATTCTGAATGAAAAAGCATTTTTACCAGTGAGTATTTATTGAAGTAGAGTTATAGGTCTGTACTGAGGAAATTGATGGGAATTTTTTTCTTTCCTTCACCCAAAGGTATATTTCCCAAGAGTTATAACTAAAACATTCAATAATATTTTTTTATATAGCATCCAATAATGCAATGGCTGGAAGACAAGGAAGTGGCAGAGTAGCTGGGTGGATGCAGTGGATATTGGCAATAATTCTGATGCTGTGGGGTCACCAGATCAGTGGACAAGGACAAGGTAAGTGAAGATCATTTACTGCAATTTACTGTTGGCATGGTATTGCATAGCATTGTTTAGAGAAAGAAGGCTGTGTGATCAAGGACTGAACTCCTGTGAACTGCTGACGAGAAATAGGGATATAAAAATCTGAAGGACTTCAATTGAGAAGTCAAATTCTGTTTGGAAAATATTGTTGTGATGCCTTCAGGGATTATCCAGGTGCTTGAATCTGTTTTCATGTGCTCAGTGATTGAAGTGTGCCTTGAAATAAATTTTCCTTTTGTATCTGTTGTTGGCTCTCAAGGTGCGGAGAAGCAGCAGTTTAAGAGATTATAGACATGGATACTTTGTGTTTTTCAGCTGTGATATCTGCAATATTCAGAAAGGCTTTTGTGGCCATGCTATAAATAATTTTCCTGTTACATTTCTGTCTCACTCACTGATGGTGGTGCATAATAACAGCTGTAGGGATGCAGACAGGCAAAAGAAAGTAGTCTTGGGTTTTTGGTTTTGAAGAATGAAACATTATTGTGTGTTTCTGATTTAAGGGTTGCTAACAAGAGAGGTAAAACCAGGCTATTGTACTTTTTAATATACATATTTAGAATAAAAGAGGTTTGTGTGTTGTGTCAGACTTTGAAAGGGGGAAAATATTGTTTTGAGGCACTGAAATTAAAGGCAAGCAGGAAGACATTCCTTTTTGAGGAATTCCTTTATCAGGCCTTCAGGAAATACATGTAACATATGGGCTGAGATTTCCACATCCTTGCTTTACTCCTCAAGTGTGGAAGATGCTGCATGTTTTTCACTAGAGCCTCTCTGTTCTCTGTTACTCCAGTCACTGGTACATGGATGATGCTGGCTAGGGTGTGAGCCTGTGCTGGGTGCATTTTCCCAGGCAGTCTGGGCTGCAGAAAAAGTTCTTGGCTGTTGGGAGAGAAATGGTGCTCACTCTTGCTTGGTGCAGTTTTAGAGTTAGGAACTGAAGGCAAACTGTGCACTGCAGTTCTGCTGGAAACACCTGTGGGACTTCTGCATGTTTCCTCCACAGACCCTAAAAGCCAACCTGGCAGCCTATATAGGACTTTAGCAGGAAAGTGTCAGGTATTTTTGCAGCTTTTCTGTGATATAAATTGCATTTGTACAAAAAGGGTTGTTGCTTTTCTAAAGTGTCCATTTTGACATTATAGTCTTTGAACTGGAAAACCAGATATATCTGAAGACTGTTCTGTGGTATTGTTCTAAAATGTGATGGGTATTGTAAATTTTTCAGTTTTATGAAATACTGGTGAATGGCATTGGGAAGAAACACAGGTACAGCATCTTGAAAGACTTTGTTTTCAAAGTGGGTGATGTGAGGGCACTTGTGCTGTGAAATATTCTTTATGTGGTTCTAAACCGTGTGTGAATTTCTGGCTGATGACAAGATAGTCTTGATCTGTGAGCTGACCTTTAGCCATGTGGTTCTGTGTTTCTGTTTTCTAATAACTACCCAATTGTAACCACCTAAAAGCTACCAAACTGTAGAAAAATGAAAGTAGTGTGACAAAACCCTCTAGAATGCAAAATGTCTTCCTAAAATTAGTGATAACCCTTAGTGAAAAGGCTTATGGACCGTGATCATGTTATTTTGCTTTAATTTGAAATAACTTTAAGTTGTAATGTGGCTTTTGAATATTAAGTACCTCTAAGCAGGTCTAGTATAACGAGACTGGCTGTGTTTCAGTTTTTGTAGACTCTGTACTCTGATAGAAGTGTAGTGTAGACTTTTGAGCATACACTTAAAGCAACTGCTGTGCATTGCTTGAACCTTCACTTGAGAAATATTAACTTTTAATGGCAATGAAGTAGTAAATTATAAACAAGGAACAAGTATTTTTTGGCATAATTACATACACAGGGTATTTAAAAAAATGCAACCCCCCCCCTAGGTTTCTGGATATATCTGCAATTTTTCTGTGTGTTTCTGTTAACACTTTATTTTTCTAAAGTAAAAAATAAAGCCCTTTGAGCCTGCCTTGCAGGAACCTGAGAAATGTAATTTCTGATTAATTTCAGTAAAATTAATATTAATTATAAAATTTGGTTATTCAGAGTCTATCAGGACAATAAAATGAAGAGATAATGATTCTGTGTCTGGGCATAGAACCAAAAATGTTTAAAAGCCATATGGCTGCATTTAAAGAAAACAGCTTCTGAGTCACATAACTTCAGCGTGAGTGGGTTGCTATGGAAGTTAGAAAGAAATCAACATTTGTTCCACTTCCATTTCCAATCAGAATAGTAAACTTAAATTGAAAACTCTTTGTTTTTCAACAGATCTTTCTATCTGTCTCTTTTTACACATTAACCCAACCCAAGAACTGTCTGGGTTTTGAAGTCCATGGGGCTGCATCTTCCTCTGTTCATGGGTAGCTTCTGACTAGATACTTTAGTCTACCCAGTGTAAGTGTCCAGTAGAGACTGGAATAAGGAAGGAACTGTTTTAATTTAATTTGCACTCTAGCACAATAGAAAAATGTGTAGTTTTTAATATTTTGGATCCATTCTGCTTTTCTCACTTACCTGAATATTGCAGGTTTACTCCTCTGTTTTCAGAAGAGTAAATATATTTTGGCCTGTATTTTGTACACTTCATTAAATTTAGAAAAAGACTTCTCTAACATGGAGTCCTGAGTAATTTGAAGAGTATTTTGAAGCAGACTTGTTTTTCTTTGTGAACTTAGAAATCATATATCTGGAAGTCTGAAGTTACTTGAACAATAAGCAGGCAATTACTGTTCAGTGATATCCACAAATAGCGTTAGTATTGATATTTAAGACAGAAGATGAATAAGTAGTCCTGGAATCTAATAACGTTCAGACTTGTAAAAGAAGTGAATGTTGCTTAATATCTGGAATTTCACTGCTGTATAGATGAAGCAGGTGCTCTCTTTGAAGCTCTAGAGATGCTGGATAAAACAGTGTCTGCTCTCTGAAGTACACAGCAGTAGTGCTGGTGTTCTTGGATGCATGCTTCCTGCCCAAGATGTGCCTTTCAAATATTTTTTTTTTTTTTTTACAGAGCTGTCAGGGTACAGTGTTGACAGGTTGCTTTATTTAATGATCAAGCATAAAGGCTGTGCAATGTGCTGCAGCCAAGAGGCTTCAGAGCTCAAACAATGTGCTAGAAAGCAGTGGGTGTTGCTGGCTGGCCAAGCTCTGACCCTCTCCCTGCAGGAACTTTTTTCCCCCCAGCCAGGCCTAATGGGGGAAAAGCACCTTAACTTTTGAATTTAAACAGTGTTGTGTGTAAGTATGCAGTATTTTTGGTTTCTTTTTTGCATTTTGTAACTTGAACCAATGAGAAAGCAGGCAGCATTATGACTAACTGGGAATATACATGAGTTTATATCAGTGCACCATCAGAAACAGAGAATGGGAGTCTTTGCTGGACTTCAGTCATAATGTGGATGTTTATGCTGAGGACAAGCATTCAAACTGCTCCAATTTCACCTTCTTTTGTCTGTGCTGCTGACAAAGCCCAAATGTTCTTCCAGAAGTTCTCCAAAACCAATGAATAATGATGTCTTCACTCAATCCTGAGATTACTGTGGCTTGTTAATAGTGGGAAGGGAGGCAGATTGAGGATACCTGAGATTTCTTCCCAAACTCATCTTTGGTGATGTGTTTTGACTATGAAGACTGAGCTGTGGTGTTTATTTCCATCTGCTGCACTTTGCTGTGGGCTAAAGCAGCTGTGTGTATCTTCCTCTAGCTCAGCTGTCTCTCTGACAAGGTAAGGAAAATTATTTTGTATATATGGAGTGTGAATGTGTGCACATATACAGTTTTATGGTACTAAGTGACTGACAGTGATTTTGGCTCTAAGAAAATATGTAAAACCAGAGAAATAAAAACTCTGTAGAAATCAAGAGTCTTGGAACTGGTTCCAAATTCCACACCTCAGCTAATCTGAGATGGTACATGGGTGCTGTGGTGCCATGATTTGCATTCAGCATTGCCAGATCTGCCAAGTGCTTGTGTGTAACCTGGCTTGTGACTCCCTGTGGGAAGAGGAGCAGCCCCATGGGGACATGGAATGGGTTCCAGGTGGCACTGCTGCCTCAGGGATGCTGCCCTGTGCACATCCAGCTCACCCAGCCCATCCAGAGTTCTGTGGCACAGCCCAGCAGGGTAAGATGGGCTTTCATGCTCAGAAGAAGAAGGTGAGGTCTGTTCTGGGTGTCTGATGTGAGCTGACTTGCAGGTTTTTGGTTTTTTTTAATGGCAGCTTCTCCAATCTGAAAATTAGTCCTCTTACATCAGTCTTTTAAACTCACCTTTAAATAAATGAATGTGCAAAACTGCAGGTAATGTATTAATGCTTTAAAAAGCATTGAGTCTCTGACAGACCTGTGCTTGGATCCAAATTTAGATTAAACCCTGGTGACAAACTTAAGCAGTCTTTGCTTGTGCACTGCCACCTGTTATAAAATCAGGTGATGCAGTAATAATTTGGGATAGGACAACCAAAGCTCTCCAGGCATGTTGTGTTACATTGCAGTTATTCCTTCTGTCTTGGTGCTTCCTCACTGTGGAATTCTGGTGGACACTTGACTTAAGTGATGGAGAAGTTAAGGAATTATGAGGCTAGACCTGTGCTTGTATCCTCACAATTGGTAACTCCACGTTTAGGTGATTTGTGCATACACCTGTGCATGGAAAAAAAAGTTGAACTGCAAAGAGAAGTCGTGGTTTTGGTTCAGAAGCCTGTATTGGAGGGCTTCAGCTTTAGTGAAAGAAGCATCAGCCTTAATGTAAAGTGGCTGCTGCTTGTCTCATAATAATGTTCTCAAAATACATTTGAAAGTACAGTATGTACCTTTACCCTACCAGAGTACAGTAGTTTTTTATATCAATTGAATGTGATTTAGTACTTAACCTTTCTCTCTTGTACATTATGCAGCCTTGCTAATGGATAGCAACACTGCATTTTGAAGGGAGGATTTGTTTTGTTTTTAATGGAATGGTTAATA